AAAATGCAGTTGACTCTTGTCTAATAATGATGGTTACCAATTATATGCCGTGTACTACTATACCAGGTATTGTTCTAATCTTTTGTACTCATTAAATCCTCTCAACAGCTCTAGGAGGTGGGTGCCATTATCCTAATCACTTTTCATAGTAACTCTTCGGGTGATATGCCTGGGAGGCAGAGGGGCACTTTTAAGATCTTTTTATATAGTTTTGAGACTCCATCCTAGCCAGGTTTCACCTGCTGCTGTATGTAACATTTCCACTTCACTAGAGAGAACTCCTGAGCCACCCCATGCCCAGAGATTTGAGGTCTATGCTCAGTCACGACATGGCTGGGATTTGGGGTCATAAAACTTTCACGGTCATGGGTCGAGTGCTCATGAGTGTCTACCAAGGCTTAATAACAGGCCAATAATTTTCTCTCAAAGAGTGTATACCTTTTGGCTGATTCCGGGAGCTTATGGATCCAAGAGCCCAATAGGTGCTTCTGACTGGTGGTATCCTTCTGCCACAGGTTCTATTCAGCAAACTGAGAGGTTGCTGAGAACTTTAAGTCAAATGGCAAATGTGGATTGATGGGGCCCAAAGGAAGGGTGCTCTGGTATCCTATTGAAGGGCTTCCAGAACATTCTGTTGACTGGGCCCCATTCAAAGGTAGGAACGTTTTCTAGTAACCCAGTAGATGAGTGTCATCAAGATCCTCTCATGGGGAAGGTGAGAGCAACAGTAGCTGAATAGGCCCACCATCACTGGGTTTCCTTTTTGTTTGTTGGGGCAAAGAGGGACCAAATCTTGACAATCATCTCCTCTAGAATGAGATGTCATACCCCTTCCCCAGATTGCCACCAGGAATTTCACTTGAGTACCTGGCCTGTGTTAAGGGTGTAGCCATCTCACTGCTTGTAAGCCATCATGGCATCCAGTCGTTGATAGGCAGTGCCCTTGTCTAGGCCCTCCAGGAAGACGTCATCAATGTAGTGCAAGGCTAGTGCTTCCTCCAGGCACAGGACTTTTTCCAGATTGTGAACTACCCATTGATAGTAGATACCCAAAGAATTCAGATAGCCTTATAGAAGGACATTAGAGGTGTGTGAAATCCATACCACACGAAGACAAACTGATCCTGATCATCACAGTGGAGAGGGATGCTGGAAAAAGCCATTTGCGATGTCAATTGCTGCAGCCCAGGTTCCCTCCGGTAGCTTCTCTAAGAGTCAAAATTTCATGTACCACCAGTGCCAAGGGCAACACTATGGCAGTGAGCCACCTAAAATAAATGATGAGTCTCCAGGCACCGCAGGCCTTGCACACAGGTCACATGGGGCTATTGGATGGAGAAATAGACCCAGGGGAACTTGGGCTCCTTAGAGCTCAGCCACGAGGGCAGTTATTTCCCTTTCTCTCCCAGGCAGCTGATGTTCTTTGGAGGAGACAATGGCCCAGGCACCAGTAATCGGGCAGGTTCCTAGTCTTCCACATGCCCCCCTAAGGTGGCCCTAACTGCAGCAATTCCTGTCAGGGCTTGGGGCTGAACACTGGCGGGGGAGTGTATAGACAACGTGCTTATACCAACAGTACATTCAGTCATGGGGACCATAACAGTGGACATTTGTAGGGGCCTGAAGGTACTCTCCCAGAGCCGGAGCAGGTTATGGTGATCTCAGACCCCAGATGAGACAGCACTATCTATTTTTCACTCCTCCTGGTGCCAGGAATTGTGGAGATCACACTCACCTGTGCACTGATATCCAAAAGGCCCAAGAAGTACAATTCTCCCCACTTTCCCATTGAACTATGACCTTGACATATTTTCCCCTCTGGGGAGAGGGACCTCAACTAACCCCTAGTCTCCTTTATTTTGAAAGTCAAGAGGTTTGGGTAAAGGCTGGCAGGGCTCTGTGACTCATCTCCAGACGTGATCAGAGGGGCTGTCGTTGTTCAGACCCTAGTGGCCAGGAGTTCCTTGAGAGAGAGCACCTCAGTCTCCTCCTTTGAGACCCCCATTATTGAATAATCAGACCCCAGATCTCTTTGGGAATGCCATTGCCTGGATGATCCAGAAGAGGGCACCCAATTACCATCTTTACATTGCTTTTTCTGCCATCAATGCTTTCTTGGCAGTAGCTGCTTTTTCCATGCCTGGGAATTTGTCAGTTAAGATCCCTAGATTGTGTTGTGGACAGATTGAACTGAACTTACGGGGTTTATTTGGGCTCCATAACTAGCAAAAGCAGCATGAACAAACCTAGAAATCTGAGTCTGCTTAAAGCCTCATCATCTGCTTTTCTCAACCTCTCATTGTACACCCAGGGAACCACCACGGTGCCTCCAAGGCTGCGTAGCCTCTGTGAGGGTAGTTCAGATGCGGTTTTCACTGGTAGGAAACTCATCATGGGTGGGCCAAACCTCTCAAATCTGTTGGAGACCAAATAGTACCCAGCGGAGGAAGGAGAGGATCTCAGGTGTCCGTGCCCTTTCATCCACCCCTTCCTCCTCCTCCTTAGGCAAAACGGCCACTGTCAAGGCAGTTGGAAGGAGGGTGCCCCACAAGGCACTATTCTCCTTCACTAGGTTCAACAAGATTACTACCTTCATTGTGGAGGTCAACTAGCCATGTCTCTAAGGTCTCTTAAGGTCACTGGGCAAAGCGATCTTGAAGGGCTCTATACTATTTTTTATTGAAAGCATGAATGTCAAGGAATCTCAATAACTCAGTGTCACAGGTCATTCATTGTTGCCAAGGAACTGCTTAGAGCTAACAAGAGTGATTGAGTGCAACTCAGGTAGCAGAGTCTACGATAACTTTTGGCCCCATCACTGGAAGACACTCTCCCCTGGCTTTCCTACACTCTGTCGGATTTCTAATTTGAGACACGGGGTGAGCTTAGCTGGGGAGTCAAGTGTTAAAAAGAGAGAGATCAGTGGTCCCCCTCAGAAACAAAAAGTTTGTGTAAACATTCCTCTAGCACACACCAATTGTGCTCCATGGGGTCCACCAGCTTCCCCAGACAGATGGCATGGTCGGCCACATGCCCTGTGGGGCCCTCAGACTCTTGTAAATGACCCACTAGCACCTTGGAGTGTCCTGTGGACACCTTTTGCTTTTATTTTGTGTTGTCTTAATTAGCCACCTTGCTCGCTTCATCAGTTTGTTAGAGAGGAAGAGAGAGAGGGAAAAAGAGAGAGAGAGAGCTTTCAGACGTCAAGGTGGTCAATTACAACAACTAGCCAAACTGAACCTAAGAGTCAAGCCCTTATTCACTTACCTCATAGGATAAGCAAGAGGCTACACAGGAAATGGTGCTATTTTTTCCTCCATGGAACAGCATCAGGCAAGGGTCAGAGGACAAGCAGAGGTAGGGGATTTGTCTCACTGCTCAGGTCCCCCAAAACAAAAGGCTCCGTCCATTTTATGGACCCTGGGTCCATGGGAGGGAGAGGGGAAGAGCAAGGAGTGGAAAATACTGAGTCAGAGTCAGAGTCGAGAAAGTGTCTTCGAGGCCTCTGAATGGAAGTGTCTGGGCTAGGAATGCAGACATGCACAGGCCGGCAGTGCCCCGAGTCCCCAACTGCAACTCCCTCCAGAGACTGCAGTGCACTGGCTGTGCACCAGATCTGTGTGGGGAGGGCAGCTTCCCCCTGTGGGGCCTGCCAGGCAAAGCTTTTGTAATTGCCTATGGTCAGGCCTAAAAGGTCACCCTTAGGACTCTGGCCTGGATCCAGACTCCTCAACAATTATAGTGAGAGATTTCAACACTCCTCTCTCAACAATTGATAGAACCAGTATTCATATCAGTAATAATATAGAAGACCCAAACACCACTATCAACTGACTTCACTGAAGTGACATTTCTGTAACACTATACCCCAAAACAACAGAATACACATTCTTTTCAACCCACGGAACATTTACCAAAACAGATCATATTTGGATAATAAAACAAACATCAATTTGTTAAATTAAATCTCAATGCTTTAAAAGCATTCAAGTTGTTCAAAATATGTTCTCAGAGTACAGAATTACATTAGAAGTCAATAATAGAAAGATCTTTGGAAATTTCCAAAATTGGAAACTAAATGATACTCTTCTAAATAACCTATAGGTCAAAGAAGAAATCAAAAGGGAAATTGCAATGTATTTCAAACTGAACAAAAAATGAAAGAAAACATTAAAATTTGTGAATGCTACTAAATCAGTCCTTGGGGGAAAATTTATAGCACTAGACACCTATATTAGAAAACAAGAAAAGTTTCAAATTAATGACTTCAGTTTCCACCTTCAAAAACTAAAGAAAAAAAGGTAGAAAAATTAAGTGCAAAGTAATCAGAAGAAAGGAAATAATAAAGTTCAGAGCAAAAATCAATGATGGAGAATACAGAAAAACAAAGGATAAAATCAATGAACCCAAAAGCTAATTCTTTGAGAAAAATCAATAAAATTGATGAATCTCTAGCAAGACTGATCAGAAAAAACAGAAGACACAAATTACCAATATCAGGAATAAGAGACACATCACTACAGATATTATAGATATTAAAGAAAAATAAGGAAATATTATAAACAACTCTATGCCACTAAATTTGACAACTCTACAAAATGCACAAGCTCTTTGAAAGACACAAGGTACCAAAGCTCACTCCAGGAGAAACAGATAACTTGAATAGTCCTATATCTATTAAAGAAATTAGTTTAAAACCTTCCCACAGTGAAAATTCCAGTCTCAGATGGCTTCACTGATGAATTCTATCAAAGATTAAAGGAAGAAATAATTGTCCATGTAGGGTGGAAGAGCATTTAGAGGGTGGTTTGTGAATCCTTGATTTGCTCCTAAAGATTCCCACAAACAATGGGCACCAACTGTGAAGGGAGCTGGCCATGCTATGATCAGCAGATGAGAGCAGAGTCCACGAGAGGCAGGAGCTCCCCGAACTTCACGCATCAGAAACCCTGTTATTCTCAACGGCTGTAGAATATTCAGTCAAGACATTCACAACCATCCCAGGTGCACACACTTTATTTTGGCGCTCAAACTATTGCCCAATTTACTCACACGGAATTTGAATTAAGGCCAGGTGGGCAGAAGGAAAGGGAGCCTATGTACAGCAGTTGCACCTCTTTATGGAGAAGAGAACCTGCCACAGAACAAAATGCTATTGGTTTTGAGATGCCTGATGAAGAAAAGGAAAGGGTGGTCTGCACAAAATGTTGGTTCACTTCTGCTGCACCGGCTGTTCCTGATCACAGCAGTGGCCGCGGCTGCCTCTGTGCCCTCCTCATTGACCTCTACAAAGCACTTGTGTGTGACCTTAGACACAGGCATGTTCTTCTTGGTTGACATTCCAGAAAAGTCTGCTTTGGCTTCCTCAAAAGCATCAGTCATTCCTAAACTTCGAAGAAAAGACTCTAAGTCATAACTCTCCTCCAACTTTAATCGAGGAAGGAAAACTTGAACTTTATCCTTAGCCATCTTTTCTGGATTTGTCCAGGCTCTGAACTTCTCATATGTAAGTGCTTTTTCCACCTGAAATAAGGAAGAGTCAAATCTTAAAATCTAGGTGACAATAGCCTGGTGCCCACCCAACTCGTTACCCCTCTCCCACGACCTAGATGGTGAGTCCTGGTGAGTGCTCCAAGACAATCTACAGAGAGAGTTCCTCTCGTAAACACACCAAGATTTTCCCTCAAATTTTCATCTTTTTCCCTGTTTTATGGAAACAAGAGTAAAACAGCGAGAAAACACTTGAGACAGGGATAGAGTTTGTTTTTTTTTAACTATCTGTACCAAATTCATTTCAAATGTTTTTTCATTTAGAAAATTCTCATAACCAATTGATTATATTCATGCAGTACACATTACTCTGAGTTGAAGAGATTGACAAAAGACAGACAAACAGCATGGCTCAGAACTCTGATGAATGAAAGAGGGGGAAATCAGGGATCACCTGAACAGGAAGGGAGACATGGCTTCTGGGGACGGGAGAGCAGGAATGGGGAATTCAATAGGACTGTGGATTCTGGCTGTCCTGGAGTTAGGTTTGAAACCTCCAAGACCCATCACTCATTCTGTTTATCCACAAGGAAGAAATAAAGGAGGAAGAGGGGGCTTGCCCTTGCGTCTCCCACTTCCCATTACCACCTGGAGCCCAGGTGAGTGCTCCTCTCCAGTGACAGCTGTTTGGATGTCAGCTCTATTCCTAGACTTTCTTAATTTTCTTCTTAAGTAACCATGACAGATCTCATCCTTGACTTATGCCACCAGCTTCCTGATGCCATAGAGAAACCAGGGAAACCAGGTAGGCCCTACCCTCAACATCCTGTGCACCGGTGTGCTGACAGTGGCTTGCATCTCTGGTGAGAGTCAATTGTTAAATCCTTGGTAGCCTAAACACAGTCATGGTGGGAGTATTTACACCACAGGAATCAGCAAAGTTATAAATGAAGGCTTCCCGCACGGCCCGGAGAGCCAGGTAACAAGCATATTATTGGCCCTCTATCTCCCACCTCACAAATTTACCTTCCCTCATCCTGAACTCCGTTCCTTTTCTGTCATGGAAAGATGTGCCTCTCCTCCTGTCTAAGATAAATTCCTCACCTATATGTTAGACTCCTGCTACTGGAAGTGTAGCCCATGACCAGCAGCATCCGCATCACCTGGAATCTTGTTAGAAATGCAAAATTTCAGGCCATACCCCCCTGAATCAAATCTGCATTTTAACAAGATCCCCAGGAGATTCATATGCACATTAACATTTCAGAAACACTGCCCAGTTCAATCCCCACCCTTTTCCAGTAGTTTTGTTCAATCACTAGCCCCCCCTTTCAGAATAAAGAATAATGTTCTTATATTTTGGGAACTCTCTCTTCTTTGCTTCATTAAAATTTGTCCTCATTCCTCAATAAATATGCAACAAAATACATAAACATATTCACCAAAAGACCTGCAATGGGTTCATCCAGCACTCCTTGTCATAACTCTAAATTGGAAATTCCTCAAATGCTATGCGGTGGCTGGACCTGGAGTTCAGGCTGGGTCCACAGACACTCAAACTCACTGCCAAAGCTTACCACAGGGAGCTCGGTGTCGTCATCAGGCAGCAGAATGACCATGCTCAGCTCCTCCCCTTCGTAGGGCAGCTCCAGCACCTGGGTGTGCACTTCGTCTACATACCCCATTTTAAATTTAGCTTGCTTAAACATCATCTGCACTGTCTTTTTCTCCTAATTAAAATATGAAACTAAAATCAGATTACTGAAAAATGAGCACAGTTTACTAAAAATAAGATACGTCTAATTTGCAGAACCCCTGGGTACATGTAAGAGAATTATGATTTCTGTGCGGTTATGTTGATAAATGTAAAATCTTCATTATTACCTATTAGTGTTGAGTACAGCATGCTATTGACCCACTAGGTCAAGTATCACCAGGTGAGACAGAATAAATTGATGAATATTCAGAGACATAAAACACATTATGTTACTTTTGGAAGAAGTGTTTTTTCTCTTTTGAGAACGTGAAGAGAGGACTCTCAGGGACTTTACATTGAAAAGTTATTTCTCCAAGATAGGAAGAGAATTAAACTAATATTCAGGCCTTTGAGTGAAGGATCTGGTTAGAAAAGATGGACGGGCCATAGGGAGTGACATTTCTATTCTGAAAAGTTGCTCAATTATATATTCGGCTTTATGGCTTTGGTTTTCTTGGAGGGGGGACCTTGACAAGATGTGTAGGGTCTAGCATTTTTAAAGCTTGCATCAGATATATTCTAGACTTTTATATCTTTGTGTAATACGCTGTTATCAAGTTGATGGGGTCAAGTTCCACGCCAATAGCTATTGACCCCAGCTATTATCATATTTGAAAGTGAATGGAGAAAAGTGGGGTTTTTTTTCCCCTGAGGAAGATTAGCCCTGAGCCAACTACTGCCAGTCCTCTTCTTTTTGCTGAGGAAGCCTGGCCCTGAGCTAACATCCATGCCCATCTTCTTCTATTTTATATGTGGGACACCTACCACCGCATGGTGTGCCAAGCGGTGCCATGTCCGCACCCAGGATCCAAACTGGCAAACCCCGGGCCGCTGAGAAGCGGAAAGTGCGAACTTAACCGCTGTGCCACCGGGCTGGCCCCAGAAAGGTGTTTTAAACTTAGGCTTATTAGTCCAGAGGTCTAATGTACAGCATGATGACTACAGTTAGTAATGCTGTATGAATACTGGAAATTTGCCAAGAAAGTAGATTTCAGTTGCTGTCATCACACAGAAAAATATGGTAACTGTGAGGAAAAGATATGTTAATTAGCTTGACTGCAGTCATTTCACTGTATGCATATCAAATCGTCATCTTGTACACTTTAAATATACACAATTTTTATTTTTAAAAAAGACCCAAGAATAAATAAAAACAAAGTTATCCTGAACATCTGCTAACACATTTTTTCTTGTGTTTGGACTTGTATAGCCATGAATGCTAAGCCAATAAATAGGTGTAGCTGTCACTGACATGGCAACAAGGCGTTTGTGTAAATACAGACAGTGACAGTACAACATAAACATAATTCCAAGGCTTAGAAGAAACTTTCTTCAATCCAAACCATATAAGCAGAGAGAGAAGATTTATTTGACCAAGAATACTTTAACCAATGTAAAATGGTTTTAGTTTTTCTCTTCCCCTCTCTAACGAAAGATCTCTTTTCTCTCTCCAATAAGATATATAGCGAGCACGAAATTCATCCAGAACTAGATTAAGAATCAATATAGTGTGAACCAAATTATTTTTTTCCATTCATTCACAATCTCTCCCAGTGTATTACTTTAAGAAAGTAGGGGAAAATATTTCCCTACCTGGTTGACTTTAAAGCGCATTCCCCTGGTGTGCTTTCTGTCAAATTGCTCATTCCACCTTCCTTTGAAATACACACCATTCACAAGGACCAGCTTAGTCAGGGGGCTGACTGTCCCGGCACCCAGTATCTCTGAAATCTTACCTGTAAAGAACATGAGAGAAGTTTATTGCTATTTGGCGGAGAATAAACATCCTTCTACAAAAATCCTCTCGACATATAAAGCCGAGACTTGGTTGAGAGCCAGTCTGGAAACCTTGATGAATTGGGGGAGGGTGTATAGTGCTGTGCACACACACACAGTGTATTGTTTGTTCTTAAATAACAATCTTTTTTTTTTTTTTGAGGAAGATTAACACTGAGCTAACATCCGTCGCTAATCCTCCTCTTTTTACTAAGGAAGATTGGCCCTGAGCTAACATCTGTGCCCAACTTCCTCTACTTTATATGTCAGATGCCTGCCACAGCATGGCTTGATAAGTGTGTATAGGTCTGTGCTGGGGATACGAACCGGCGAACCCAGGGCCACCAAAGCAGAGCGTGCAAACTTAACCACTCCACCAGTGCCGGCCCCTTAAATAACAATCTTGAAGTAGGCAGGTCAACTACCATTTTGCCCTCAATTTACAGATGTGGAAATTCATGTTCCAAGCTTTTGCCTAACTTTTTTGCCAAGGTCACATAGGTGGCAAGTGACTGAGCTAAGAAAATAACCCAAGAGTCTTGATTCTAACTGTAAGCTTCTCAACTTTGGCACCGTAATTTCTCAACCACACTACTATTGGCATTCCAGGCTGGATAATTCTTTGTTGTGGAGACTGTCCTGTGCATTGTAGGATGTTTACCCCAATTGTGACAACGAAAACTGTCTTTGGCCATTGCCGAATGTCACCTGGAGGTTGATTCTGGTTGAGAATCATTGTTCTGTGTCAACCTTCAAATCTCATTTAGGTGAGAAGAGACTTTCAAAGAGTGAGGTGAATACAGACCTGTAAGTGAGAGAGAGGGGCTTCCTGAACGGAGTGAATGGGGTGAAGGAATCAGAGGGATGCAATAAGAGGGCCAAATTGAGTTGTCCAACGAGAGAGGGGACAGGGAGATCCCAAATCCCCTCCAGCTCTAACATCTTAGGAAAACATGTGGGTGGTCAGTGTGATGGAGGGAAGAGCGTGAGCAGCCATGAAGGGGAAGCGAGTGGTGTAGGGAGGGTGAGGTGTAGAGAAGCTTCTGGTTTTCCCAGATCCAACAGAGAGTGAGAGACCACTGCACATATGATATATGAAAACGTGAAAGGCTCTTTCCTTCCAATGGTCATTATTCTATTGGCTTTCAGTATAACTGTGGCCACTGCTGCCTGACACACACTGGGTCTGCCATAAAGATTGAACCAATGACGTAAGGAGTGCTGGGTAGGCACATGAAGAAATAAGTGATTCGACTTCCCCACTTTTGGAAGTCTCAAAATTATGTTAGGTATTTAGAGTGCTTAAGAGCATGCCCCTTTCCTCTGTGCTCTAGCCAAGAACTGGCAGAAATATTTCTGATGAGACAGAATGTAGACTAGACAGAAGACCCCACAGGCTCCACATTAGCTCCACCTAAAGAATCTGGAGCAAATTCAAAAAGGTCACGCTCTGAAAGCAAACTTATCCACTGCCAAGTTAAGAGGGAAAGAGAGGGCTGCGGATGAAATGAGAGCAGTTCACATCACCACAGGGAGACGACAAGAAATGTTGCCCTGTCTCAGCTGTAACCTGAATTGAGTGTCATTCTGCCCTCAGAGAATGGCAAGGAGCTTCCCAGATAGAAGTTAAACAGGGTCCCAAAGAGGAAGCATTTTTCAGGGATTTTCCAGCACAGTCCAGAGGGGACAGGGTCTCAGCTCCTTACACTAGGTTTAAGTATTTTTCAGAAATCACCACTTCATAAGCCCAAGAAAAATAACAGAATCACACTGCTGGCCTGAAAACCCACCAAACACAAACAGGTCACTGGTTATGGGGTCACTGTGGCAACACCAGAGAGGTCACACCCCTGCCAGTCTCAGCTCTCTTTCCTCCATAACTAATAGTCTTCTGAAATGACAATCTCTCACCTTCTGTCTTTTTTGTCACCCAGTCATTTATGTGCTTCCTGCATTCTTCGGTGTCTTCAGCAAAGGATAGCTCCTCCAGCTCTGCCTGGTAGAACTTCTGGCAGGATTCCTTAAAGGCCTATAGACGCAAAATACCAAGTTTAGCCCTACTTGGCGAAGGTTCCTCCAAGTGTGAAAATTTTTTTTTTCTTAACATGTTTCTAGTAAAAACACTCGCACGGGTCATCCTGCACTTTAAGACTCATTCACACAATTACAAAAACATGTAGACGCTATGCCTGGCACTGTGCTAGGTGCTGGAAACAGGGTGAAGAAGTGACATTGGCCCTCAGATGGCTCCCAGTCTGCTGAGAGAGACAACATATAAACACAGACAGTCTCAACCACATAGGTACACAGACAGTCTCAACAATGTATATACACGGATAGTCTTAAGATGTTTGGAAAACATGGATGGTGGCAGCCAAGCACAAAACAGCCATGAACATCCCCGTCAAACACTTAAACTCCATCTTGACTTTCTGTCTGATTTTCTGTCTCCCCCACTAGACAGTCTAACTCTTGTTTACTCATTTTTGTATCATCAGCACCAAACACAGTGTCTGAAACATATTTGTGGAATGATTGGAGGCTTCACAGTGGAACTGGATTATTAAGAAATCTTACAGGTCCTCCAGGAGTGGAATGTGACAGGCCTAAACCACTGTATGTGTGTGTGTGTTTGTGTAGTGGATTAGGGAAAATACAGTGGTAGGGGGTGAGCCTTGAAGTGTAAGTTGGGGTCACACCAGGAAGGGCCTTATATGCAATACATTACAACCCAAAGATAACTCACCTCACGAAAACTTGGTTTCAGATCTACCATGCCTGGCAATTGGCTCCCATCCTCCGCCCATCTCCTGTTCTCAAATATTTTAGTTTCTACAGAAGAAAGAAGATGTAGAGAGAAGGAGGAGCCAAGCAACCAAGAAAGGAGGAGGGTTCCCCCTGTGTCCCCAGTATTTCTCAATTACAATAACCAAAGATTAGGCTGATATTCAAAAATGAACATCAATTAGCCAGGAGATGCCTGGAATCACTGGTGCTTATCCTAGAAGACTTAGCCAACTGAAGGATCCAGAATCATCTCCAATGATATTTAAGCCCAGACAGGCAACCTCCATGGGGTAGCGCCCAACAGTAGCCATGAGAGGGTATATTTGAGTCTTATAATCAAGTTACAAATTTGATTCTTATAATTATAAGTCTATAATCCTTAGAACTGCCAGCCAATAAGTTGGCCTGGCTTGCCTTGATCATTTTATTAATCTCACTGCAAATGACGTGGCATCATTTTTTGGACCTCACTTATTGAATTATGGCAGGCTTTTACTGGACTAGAGAACTTTGGAATTTTATGCTGCAGTAAATAGGAACTGCTCAGATTTAAAACCTCAGTTTTATGAGCAGATTTTAATTTTAGAAAGACTATTCTGTCAGCGGTGTGGAAGGACCAGGCTGGACTTGCAGAGATCAGTTAGGAAACAAAAGGACAGTGTAGAAGACACAATAAGAGTCTGGACCCAGGTGACATGGCAGTGATTCAGAAGAGGGGACAAATTTAGGAGACTTTGAGATGCTGGCTCTGCAGGAACAGCCACAACCAGAGGGGAGACTGGAGAGGAGCTGTGTACACACGCAGGACCATGTGGATGAACACTGCAGGGCGGGGATCAAGGGCGAGAAGCAGGTCTGGGTGCAGAAAGATGGACATATTGAGACTGACATCCCAGAAGAATATATTAAAAACAATAAAAAAAGGACATAATTCAGAAACCACAATAGAATTCAAAATGATAATTACAGAAGTAGAATTCTAAGCATATTTTTAAGGCAGTAGAGATATACTTTATCTCTGTTTTTCTGTAGTTTCTATTTTATTTTCAATTTCTTTTTCACCAATGTGTGAGTACAACTTACTGGAAGGAAATCACACGTCTTCTCTCCAAAGAGTCTGTTGGCCATTCTCAGCACGCACTGAGTGCCGGCTTTGTTAACTTCTTTGAGAAGTGACTGGAAACCCTGGTGGACATCTCCCCCTTTGTTCAAACAAAGTGCCTGGTAATAGAAAACAAGGACACCAACTTTTAACATTGCCATTTTACTCCCCCAAAGAGCCATCTCGGAATGAATCTCGGTGCTGAAAATCTCAGAGGAGCCTATCTTAAAAGGAGTTTGGTTTAACTGTCTAGCGTGGGGTTTCTTGACCTCGGTTGGCACTACTAACATTATGGGACAGATACTTTGTTGTGGGGGCTGTCCTGTGTATTGTGGGATATTTTGAAGCATTTCTGGCCCTGCCCACTAGATGTCAGTAGCACCTCTCAGTTAGGACAACCAAAGCAGTCCAGAAGTTGCCAAATGTCTGGGAAGGCAAAATGGCCCCCGGGTGAAAACCAGTGCTCCGGCAGGTTATCCAGGCCAGGAAGGCAGCGTGTGAGAACTCAGGAGGAGACAGAGCAGAGAAGATCGGTACTGGGATGTATCTCACTGCCCCAGGGAATACAAGAATGAGCAGAGATAAACACGAAAATGTTTCACCAGCAATTTACAGTTCTCCAGACCAGACTGTGATTTAAATGTCAAGTCAGAGTGAGAATTAAGGTTGTTCCTGTATCTCCCAATAACCCCAGTCCAGAGCCTCACTCCCCCAGTGAGCTGAAGAAACAACCTCAAGGGGTTCAACTGCAGCCATGGACGTGCTTCTGGAGAGGGTCCCCGCACCCCTGACATTACTGGGAACATGACATGCATATGGCAATCATCTGGGACACTTTCACCAGAGAGTCAAAGAAACTAAGACACGAGGAGGTTAAGGACTTCTTCCCTTTGTATTATCGCTATTCCTTTATAGCTAAGTTTGCACATAACCCACTTCAGATCAATCAGATTATATATTCCTTCTAACTCACTCCAGAAGAGAGAAGTCCACATTTGTGTTGCGTTCTTCCACTTCTGCATAAATGTACACTAGAAATAGCCCATTTAACAAACAGTTCATTTACACAGCTGCATTTCAATTTGAAATATAATATTAGCAAAAGTTTGAAATATAACAAAGTTGAAATTCTTGGCCTTTTTGTAGGACAGAATTATAGTTTACCTTACTTATCAAAGACGCATATTGATGTTTTATCTAGAGGAAATAAAGTAGTGACTTGATTTCTCCCATAAACACTAAGGGGAGACTCCCTGTCTCACAGAATTTACCCTTCTGCCCATGTCTGCCCTTCGTCCTTCACCACAGTGCCCCCCACCGACCTACCAGCCACAGTGGCTTCAGCAGCTGGGGTGAGGTATGAAAAGCCCAGCTTTCTGGAAGCACAGAAAGAAGCATGTGCTTGGTCTTCCTTTGTGAGAGGCATGCGTACCTGAGACATCTGGGCTGCGGTGTTTCCTTTGGCCCCCATGAAGACCATGGCCAGGACAGAAGAGATGCTCAGGGGAGAGAAGAACACATTTCGGGAGTTGTCCTTTTCACCCAACATTTTTAATAAGTTGATGGCAAAAGTGCCATTTGCTTCACAGAGATCATCCATCAGGGAAAGTCTGTATCAAAAGCACAACATAGAAGCACATCAACCACCTAGTCATTAGCACCCCTGTCAGGGCTCCTGGGTGTGGTCAGCAGAATAACTGCACCCCCAAAGACACCCACGTCAAGTCCCCCAAGCCTGTAACCACCTTAGCTTCGTGGCCATAGAGACTTTGCAGATGTGACTGAATTAAGGATCCTGAGATGGGAGAACCCGTAGTTTGATTCCAGAGCCTGAACTCTTCAATGTTACACAAAACCCCCTACTGCTGCTAGTTCTCCCTCAGTCTGGTGTCTCTAGTATAATTTACAAACAATGTTCTGTGAATCATAAATAACTCTCTGTAAATAAATGTGATATTTCTGGGGCCGGCCCAGCAGTGCCATAGTAGTTAAGTGTGCATGCTCTACTTTGGCAGCCAGGGGTTCACAGGTTCAGATCCCCAGTGCAGACCTACACACCACTCATCAAGCCATGCTGTGGTGGCATCCTACATATAAAATAGAGATAGATGGGCACAGATGTTACCTCAGGGCCAATCTTCTTCACCAAATAAATAAAAATGGCATTTCTGTTACCATGTCACCTGAAAACAGTTGGATGAATTTCAACAGATTTGGAGGGTTTTTTTGGGATGATCTGACCTAAAATATGGGCTTCTAGAAGACACAAAATTTATTTTCAGTCAGGGGAACTCCCAAAAAAATATACCATTTTCCACCAGAGTTGCTTAAACTGGCCTGGGAGCTGCAAAGGGAGCCCATGGGCAGAAATATAAAATATGAAGCCCATGAGGCCAGCGCGGTGGCACAGTGGTTAAGCACACACGTTCCGCTTCGGCGGCCTGGGGTTTGCCGGTTCGGATCCTGGGTGCGGACATGGCACTGCTTGGCAAGCCATGCTGTGGTAGGCATCCCACATATAAAGCAGAGGAAGATAGGCATGGATGTTAGCTCAGGGCCAGTCTTCCTCAGCAAAACAGAGGAGAATTGGCAGCAGATGTTAGCTCAGGGCTGATCTTCCTCAAAGAAGAAAAAAAAAATGAAGCCCAAATGTCAAGTCCTCAGGCAAACACTGAATCAGAGGCCCGGATTTTGGATCCCGCCTGGCCTTCCCTCCAGCTGGACTAAACTTTAGACCAGCTTCTTCCTGCCCCGCCGTCCTAATCTGCCCTGCCTTAGAGCACTTACTTTAGACAACCTGTCACTGCAAATTCTTTCTCTACTCCTTTGAGATGTAAATATTTTGAAAAGCCTCTTTCCTGTTTGATAGCCAAGGACCAGACCGTCTCTCTCAGTCTCTGGGAATCATCCCTTTAAAACTGTAATGACCATGCACCCTACCCTCCCAGTCCCTGTGGGAGGACTGGAGTGAAACTTCAGCAGGCACCTTGCTCCAAGTTGTAAAAATTATTACAATTTATTAATTATTATAGTTTTAGCAAGTTCTTATAAGTTCTGCATTGCTTATGTCCATGGTGGGGATCGGAATTGGCCACCCCAAAATGTGTCTCTTAGGTTAAGGACAAGAGACTGCAAGAAACTTTGACCTTCCCCCAATGGCCTAAAAGAATTTAAGATAAAAGGCCTATCCCCAGGACAGGCCATCACCACAGATAACTCTGGGTATAGTAGCCAGGGAGGGTCCTTGCTAAGCCCACTCTTATCAAAGTTCTGTCCACCAAACACTTGCTTTTCCATCTCCATGTGAACTGCCTTCTTCCCCTTTGAAGTCCCAAACCACTGCCCCCCACATCCTCCTTTGTCTTTAGCTAAAGATGGTATTTAAGGTGATGGTGTTGGCCATTCTGGTGAGTTACTCAGTTTTTCTGGGTTCCTCCCATGGATACATGTTATTAAATTTTGTTTTATTTTCTCCTGTTATTCTGTCTCATATCAATTTAATTCCTGGACCAGCCAGAAGGACCTAGAGGACTGAGGAATTGTCTTCCTCCCCTACACTATTAAACCTTATAGAAACTGGGGCTACTATTTACTAAAATATTAAAGTTCATCAACTCCTTTTGGTTTCCCTGAGTCTCTTTGCTGTTACAGTTGACGACATTTTGGAAAATAAAAGGACAAACCATTACCGACAATCCCATGACCCTACAAGCTATGTTTTTCTCTTATATTATCCACTCTTTTTTTCACTAGCATGTATATTTTTAACTCAAAAATTTTAAAGTTGCACAAGAAAAATATGTTCCAGTTTGGAAAATTAGCAAATAAGCAAAATCAAAAGTACTGGAAACTCCACCTAGAGATAAGGGTCACTGTGCCTGTGTTCATTTTTAAAGAGATGGGGCATCATATGATCTTTTTTCTTCCAGTTTCCCAGCGGACTAGAAGTGCCTCCTACAGAAGTCTTGAAACTGTATTTCATTAGGTTTTGGGGGTCTCCCGGGTCTCAGGTGCAGGAGAGGAAAGAGGAGCTGAGTGGGTGCCAGAGGGATGGGGGACAACTATTTCAACCAGAGCCTCTTGCTGCTGAAGGGTTCCTTTGAATCTTCCACCTAAGATATTTTTTCAAGAGTCGATGTCTTCACTTTAGGAAGGAAAAAAATGTGTGGTGTAAAAAAAAAATAGTAAAGACCATACTCTAAATACAGAATAACAGCCCAAACCAGAGCAAATTTTTTAAAGCTTGAAAAAAGGTATTAAAACACCAGGCCAGAAAATACAAGAGTGGCATAGTTTGCAAAGCAGTACTCTATACTCAACAGGTCATTTCTTAGAGGACAAGACATTCAAGTTCCTCACTGTCCTCACGTGGTGAAGCTACTCCAAGTCTTCAGCTGCATGGCTTGAATCAAGGGCTGCTGTTGGAGGCTGCTTTGTCTGCATTGGGCAAGACTCAGAGCAGAGCAGGGTCCAGACGGCCTGCAGCCTGCCTCCAGGTGACTTCCGGCCTTGCATTTCCTCACCTTACACTTGAGGATATTTCAGAAAATAAAAAGCCAGGAGGCAGAAGGGATATTCCAAGTGCATAGCGCGGGGCCTCCCAGAAGGTGGCACCAAAGAGACCCAAAGAAGGAAAGAATGAGGTAAACTGGAGATGGCAGACACAACTAAATTTGGATTTGATCCTACTGGAGCATAAGAGCTTTGGACTCAGGGAAGGGCAGGCGTAAGTTTAGGTGAGTGAGTGTGAGAGTGTGTGTGTGGTTATCCTGCCTGAACAGGCAAAGGAATTAACTGGAATATCACATCAATTTCAACTCTACCTTTTAACTGCTCTTAATTGCAAGTGCCTACTTCTGGATTCTTCCATCTTTCCTCTTCCTTCATCTCATTTCCTCACCTCCATTCCTTTTCAACATCCAGGTGCTGGTCAGTAGCACAGTATTTCCCATCAGTATCTGCCCCATAGTAATGACACACACTGGCACACACTTACACACAAGTGCACCTTAACGATGCGTCCCAGCTCACACCAGTGAAAAGGCAAGGGCTGAAACAGGATAACAGACTGACTCTTTCCTCCAGTTCTTCTCGGTGCCCTAATCTCATTTGTACATTAAAGCCTTTGAGAAGGTTGGAACTTTAAACAAAACGGACCTTGCCCAATAAATCTAAAAAGGAATTAATTTCAGTATCGTACAAAATAATATCTTTAGCGTCAGTGCCACAATTCAACTCTGTCATAAAAACAGCAATGTGGAAAGATTTGATTTCCAGCCAATAAAATGAATTGGCATTAAGCTAGTTTTCCTTTTACAAGAGAATAAACAAAGTTAAGACAACTAAATACTGTCCTCAGGTCTTAGATCAAGAATGGCAGAGTTGGCCACAAAAACAAGCTTTCTGCTTCCAAGTATCTGGTATCATTCTTCTCCTGGGGGCCTTGAACACCTGTGAACTCCCTGCTCTACTCCCTTCCCCACCCACACATCCAAAAGTGAATTTATTCAAAAAGCATTTATCTAGAACTTTCCTTATATGGTTTTGGAGAAGAAAATAGACAATAAATGCCATTATTCCTGACTGGGAGCTCCCGCCCTAGGAGAGATACACATACATAAATGCATGGTTTCCAGCCAGCCCTGTGCTTTGCAACAGAATAGTTTACAAAGTGCTAAGCAAGCCCACAGAAAAGCAGAATGAATTTTCTTTAGAAGCCCGGGAGAAGGGGAGTGGTGAGCTGGTTCTAACAGGTTGGGCAGGAGCTTCTGTAAGGTGGCGAAAGGGAGGGGGGGGATTTTAAGGCTGCAGCTGTGGGATTGACAGGTGCAAAGAATGTCGAGGAAGGGCACAGATTGTGTGGCTCAGGGAGCAGTCTGTGTGATTTTCCGTGAGAGACCGGGCATGGTGAGACAGGACGGGCTTTAAACCAGGTTTAGAAGTTTGAATTTGAGCTATGGTCTGGAAAGCCACACATCGTTTTTAAACAAATGATACAAATGAGTACTCATTTAAACTCATTTAAATTATACAAATTGTACTCACTTAAATAAATGAGTGCATTGGAGTTTTTAAAAGCACTGTGACTCACCATTTAGCATGGGAAAAGGCTGAGGAGGCTGCTGGTAGACCACTGCGTACACCAGCGACTGCTGAATAGAGAGAGAGGGGAAGATGGCCTTGCCAGGCTGGGTGACTGATCACATGAGGGCCAGGGAGCAGGAAGAGTCAAGGATTATGCTGAGGCTTGTTAAAAACAATTCAACTTGCCCCAAATGAAGTCACTTACTTTAAGCCCTATGTCACCAAACCAGGACTTAATCAGTTTGGCTCTCCCAGAAATGGAATCTTAAACCAGTCAATCAGGAATCGCCTGACCAGTACTAGTGAGGAAATCTGCCTGACAGACCCCTACCAACCTCTAAGGGCAAGTAACTTTGCAATAACCAACCAGCTGTTTTGCCAATATTACTTCCTTATTACCTATCCCTCCTGCCTATAAAAGTCTTTGATTTTGTACAGCTCCTCAGAGCTCCTTTGTCTCTGCTAGATTGCCCGCTGCCCAACTCAAATCAATTTTCGCTCACACTCCTAACATTTTTTATATGCCTAAATTTATCTCTTAACAGGCTCCTAGCTAATTTATGCTTAGGGCGGGCTGTGAACCGGAGGAAGTTTATATGAGGAGCCAGTTTGGAATGGGGACGATGGTACATTCCACGTAATGTGTGGAACATACCATACCCACGGAACCTGTAACAAGGACAGCCAAGGAATGTTTGTAAATATAGGTAGGTTACTTAGGAGAAGTAGATAAAGTCCTAAAGCAAGAGAGTGGGAGCCACTGGCATCCTGATTCCAGCAGATTCTAGGCGAATGGAATAAGGTTACTCGGAACGTACAGTGGAGGCATAAGAGAAGACATTAACAAAGTTCTGGGGAATTTCCAATATTTGCAGGTAGTAAGAGGAAGACAAGGGACTGAGACCCAACAATCAGGGACGTCCTGGCAGATCTGGAGGGGTGTGTCTGAGCGGCCCAGGGAAGCAGGGAAGGCTGGAGGCGTACAGGAAGGTGGCGCGCATGCGTGAGGCAGTTGGTGCCTGAAAACAGGAACAGAGCGCTGAGGAGTATCTGGGAAGTTAGGAATCGATTATATTAACTACTGTGGACGAGGGGAAGACAGGTTAGGAAGAATGTTTTTTAAGTTGAGGGAAAGCAGCCAAAGAAGAAGAACAGATAAGAGAGGTGAAATAAAGAAAATAAAGACAAAGAATGGAAGAAAGGGAAAAAAAGGAGGAACTAAGGAAGGGAGGGAGGAAGAGAGGGGGGAAGGAGGAGGAGAGTAGGCAAAGAGGGAGGGGGAAAGAAAGGAAAGGTACAACCCATAAGCTGCATCGCAGAGGGGATAGGCGTTTGTGCTGGAGGTGGCGTTGACCCAGCGTCCCGCGAACTTGCCCAAGACTCCACAGAAATCGCTGACAAGGCTACCATTGGCGCCCTAGTCATCCTGCTGCACCCTGCGGCTCCTCCCACTCACCCTCCCAAAAGTTTCCATCCGTCCAACTCCGGCAACCACACCGCAGGCTGGAATACCGGCCACGCCCCCTCTGCTGGCAAATCCCAGCGCGGTGGCGTCAGTAAGCGGCAGGCGCCACCCTGCTCCCGGGACGAGCCGCCTCTGACCCAGGGCGTGTCTGCGCGCCGAGCTTCTGTGCTCGGGACTCGCCGCCCCGGCCCTGGCGGAGGCTCACCTGAGACCCCAAGCAGCGTGGGGCTGGGGTCTAGAGCGGCTGGTGCCAGGGCGCCCCCAGCCCCGCAGCACTCCCGCCCGGTTACCTCCCGCCATCATTTCCCTAGTCGTCTCCTCCTGCTTCTCCTCTCTCTGTGTCTGCCTCTTGTCTTCCTCCTTCCCTTCCTCTCTCCGCGCTCCGCCCGAGCTCTTGGCAAGACGCGCCCGCCTTGGGAACCCGAGGACACCAGCGCCTCCCCGGCCCCAGTACCTGGGAGATTCCTGCTGCTGCGACGGCTGCTGCTACTATTCCAGCTTGGTGGATCCTTCACGTCTGCTTTGATTTCGGGCAAGGCTTCCGGCGATGACTCAGCGCAGTGGGAGATTGCACCGCCTTGTGCAATCTCTGACTCTGCATCCCCCGGCTGGACCCCAGGAGGAGCCTGCACCTCGCCCGGCATCCTCCCGCCCTGGTGCTCATGGCTTGGTGGGGGCGGCTAGTGCTTCATCCTCTGAGGGCGTTTGTGGAAGACTTCGCCAGTAGAGGATTGATTTGTTTTCCTGGATTAGTAGGCGCAATATTCGTGTTTAGTGTGTGTATGCAAGAGCAGTTTCAAAATTGGAACTTAACTGAAAATTAACTAAAAGTAAAACCAGAGGTTAAAGGTTCCTAACGCCAGTGGTTTCCAAACGGCTTTGGTAGGACACCCATCAAAAAAATTTTGAGCATGCATCCCTGGTATCAGTATGACTATATATGCTAATATGCTAAATACGAAAATATTATGAACGCTATAAAACACAAATTTGAAGGAATAAGAAAGAAAAACTTTTTGTTAGAAATACACATTTTTGTGCTCACTAAGTGTTTAAGTGTTCAACTACTGACAGCCACTTCTCATCACAGAAAAGGTCATCAGGTTTGGAACACTAGCCTTTTAAAAAAGAAAAAATAAGCAAATAATTAATGAACCTCTTTTTTAAAGTACTTTGGCATTCGCTAAGTAAGCCTCAGGGTTTTCAGAAGATATTCATGGCCACTGCACTGCGTATTACAAAGCATGGTAAGTGTTCTACTATTTACTGTTCTAGGTGGTGGCGGTTGTTTATTTAATCACGTGATACCATCTCATAGCATGTGTCCCTTTCAGTACCTTGCTGAAAGCACACATGTGAGGATGCGACTCTGAAACCTACGCTTTATGACGCCTGGTTCTAGGTGTCTGCATGGAGGAGCAGAGAGCCAAGTTGGAGTTCAAATCCAAGGAAGCGTCCCTGACTCCAAAGCCAGTGCTGTTCTCTTTCCAGAGGGGAACCGGGAAGGCTAATTAGCAATCAGACCCAGACACTCAGGTTTAGAGCGTCACAGAACAGTGTTGATGAGTATCCTTGCCACCTCAGCTTTATATTGGACCCTATTTTCAGAGGGTTCTTACTCTGGAATGTCTTAAAGGAACCTCAGCCCTGACACGTCCTTGACTGAACATAAGTTGGGTAAAGACCATACAGGGATTAGTTCTTGTGGTCTGAAGGCCAACAGTAGAGAAAGGAAGGTCTGTCTGAAGCACGTGCACCTTTAGGGTTTCCTCTTTACTCCCGATGATGGAGGGGTGGCCACTGGGCCCCTTCACTGGACCTGCCGTTTCTCTACCCCTTTTGTTTCTGGGAAGGAAGTAGACCTCTTCCTTCTCTAGGACATGGTTTCACTGATTTCCTCCTCTCTTGTATCTCATAAATATACTCAATCTCTCCCATATTAACAAAAACAAAAAACTGAATTTCTTTACTTTTAATACCCTGTAATTACCGTCCTGCTTCTTCATCCTTCCATTCATAGCCAAGTTTCTCAAAAAAAAAAAAAAAAAAAAGACATTGGCTGTTGTCTTTTTCTCACCTTCCGATTTACCCTTCACCCCTCTGCAGTGTGACTTCCACCCCAACATGCTCTGAATGAAACTGCTTGTGATAAGGTCCCCAATGACCCTGTAATTGCCAGGGTGGAAAGATATGTCCCAGGTCTTGTTTCATTGTGTTTGCTGACAACTGTTAGTAGCCCTTTTGTCTGTTGCATCCCAGGGTTCCAGAGCACCGTTCCTGGTTCCTTCTCGTCCTGTCCTCATTCCTTTCCTCCATCCACAGCTTTCTTGTTTTCATAATGTAATATGCTCTTCTTGAATGACTTGACTATCTCCATGGGTTCAGATTTCAACTTTTGCTGATTCCTTCCAAACCTCTAACCCATCTCTTGAGCTGTAGACATTACCGGTGTACTACTGGACATCTCTCAGAAACCTAGAGTCAGTCCCTTCCCCAGTTCTCTTAACTAAGTGATCAAAAGTCCTGTCATTTCTACATCTGAGTGTTTTTCCCATCCCTCCCCTCTTTCTCAATCTATTTCTTGGGTGAAGTCCTCCTCATTTCTCTCCTAAACAATTCATTTTCCTACCTAACAGTTCTCCAGATCCACCACAACCTATTCTCTACTTTAAAGTCCAAATAAACATTCTAATTCTGATTGTTACCCTGATTTTAAAATCCTTCATACCACCTTCGTATCCAAAGGGTAATTTACAAACTATCTTAAAGTTTTGATTTCTCTTCTTTCTTTAGAGCCATGGCAAACTATTTGTAGTCCCTCCACATCCTCTATATTTACATAGGATGCCTGGCACCCTAGCTTGTCTTTCAAAATCCATCTCAAATAATGCCTCCCAAGGGAAGCTTACTCTGACCTCCCCAAGAAGTGTTTGGTCCTTCTGCTTTTAAATATCCCCATGCCCCAGTCTGCACCCTAATCAAGTAAATCAGGATCTCCTGGGGACCCATCCAGGCAGCAGTATTTTATAAAGCTCTGTGAGGCCACAGGTACCTGAAAAGAAGTTTCCAGGCTTTCTCATGCAGAGTCTCAGAAACTATTTTCTGTCTTCTTGTCTTATACCTCATTTTTCACATCTCTTCAACTGATACTGGAGAGTATCAGTTGGTTCTCACCTCCTCATTCAACCCTGACCTAGGTTTTCCTATTTCTCTTCACTCCTGATTTTGCAGACTCAGGAAAGACACATTCCTAGCCTACTCTCAGTCCAGCCTACCAGAACCTCCAAGTCAGACTTCCATTTGTCTAAGAGGGCAGTGGAGTCCAGGCACAGTCGGAGAGTCCTAAGGTGATCTGAGATCTCTGTACTCCATGTTGTTGAGGGAACACACGTTCCACCTAGAAGAATCTCAGTGAGGACCAATGGTGAGGAGGCATCCATAGACTTTGCTGGGTGTCCAAAGGGTTTACATTCAGAAACTGACCATGTTCTTCAGCAATGGCCACTCCATACATGCCCTGCTTCACCTCCCACTCTCCCCACAAGATTCCCATCAGCCTTTCATGGTTTTGAGAAGGTGTAAGGTAAAAAACACATGCCTCTGTTAATAAATACCAGGAGAACAGAGATAGCATGATGAAGTTGTAAGAGAAAGTATCATCAGGATTGGTGACTCTGCCACACCCCACATTAATAATATTGTCACCAGATAACTGAAGAGTGTTCCACACATTCTGTGAGGGAAGAGGAGCTTAATTACAATGAACGAGTATCAAAATTACTGGTTGTTGAGAACATTTAAGGAATGGAGTTTTCACTCTCTGAGAGAAGTTGGGCTAAATGAGTGAATGGAATCTTGTATGTAATCTATGATGCTGTTCTGCTGAAGCTAAATTGCTGTTTTTAACCTAAAAATTGTTGTGCCTGTTTTGGTGCTGATTTTGGGGGTTCAGTGCACCTATGCTAATGTGTATATTCAATATACTCGAACATCTTCTCTATTCAGCTCTCCCACCACTTCTCTGTATTCAGATAATTACAAAACCTCTTGGATATTATTTGGCCAGTCCTTTGAATTGATGAGTCGTTTATATAGGATCTGCTTCTGTATTTTTTCATTAACATTCCCCAATCAAATTAGTACTACTTAGTCCCAAGACAATCCTAAATTCAGAGTACTCAGTCCTCAGTATTCAGAATTATCAAGTGGACATCTAGGTCATCTGAAATGTGCTTATGTTAAAATATCTAGATTATTACCAAAATAAAAGCAAGCAATGAAAAAGAAATGCTATGGAGCACTTGATGACCCAGGAATGTGTAGAGCCCAGTGGACCTAAATTTGAAAAACATTACACTAATTAGCATGCCAAATTTTGTATTTCAGGGAAATTATGAGAAATACAAAAGTGTTTCTGACATGATATTACAGTACCTAGTAACTGCCATTCATGCCTTGTTAGTGCACTGTCATTCTCTCCCTTAATTCCAAGAGTGTTATCTGGAAGCATTAAATGATAAAGAATTGGGTAGTAATTAGTGACATCTCTTTGGGCGCTGCTTTGAGTGGGTGTACTGCAGATGGTAAATTCAAAGGGAAGTAGAATCCCTGATATCCTCTTGGAATATGGCATATCAATAGGGTGACCACACACCCTGATTTCCAGCTCAGTCCTATCAGTTTGTATATGGACAGTCCCAGCTTATAGCAATTGTCTTTGGGTCTTGTCTGGTTCAGCAGTTGTCCAGATTCTTCATTTTTAACTAAGTATTTTTGTTAATAGCTGCATTAACTCAAGCCAGGTCGGGTTTGGTAAACCTTCACATTGTACTTAAGCTTTGGTCGTGGTCTTTCCTGATAGTGTGTGAGACGCATACGCAGTTACATCAGTCTGGGTCCACTCGGGAGACGGAAACCACATCAGTTATATAAACAGGAGAGAACTGATATAAAGAATTATTAACTGGTAAAGGGGTTAACAAAATAAAAAGGACCCTAATCGAGCAGAAGTAGCAGGTATAGCAAGAGAAATTGCTATCTCATGGCTGGGGGTATGTGGACAATGAAAGAACTAAGGACTTAGGAGAGGACCTCTGGACTGAATTGTCTTCCCTAAAATGCATATTATGAAGCCCTTAACCCCCAGTGTGATGGTATTTGGAGATCTTTGGGAGGTAATTAGGATTAGATAAGGTCATAAGAGTGGGGCCCTGATGATAGGATTAATGCCTTTGTAAGAAGAAGAAAAGAGGGGCCAGCCCAGTGGTGTAGTGGTTAACTTTGCACACTCTGCTTTAGCAGCCCAGGGTTTGCAGGTTTGGATCCTGGAGGCAGACCTAGCACCACACGTCAAGCCACACTGTGGTGGCATCCTACATAAAATGGAGGGAGATTGGTACAGATGTTAGCTCAGTGACTATCTTCCTCAAGCAGAAAGAGGAAGATTGGCAACAGATGTTAGCTTAGGGTCAATCTTCCTCACAAAGAAAAAGAAGAAGAAGAAAAGAGAGATCTCTCTCTCTGCCAATTGAGCACACAGTGAAAAGGCAGCCACCTGCAAGCCAGGAAAAGAGCTCTCACCAGGAGCGAGCTGGCACCTTGATCTCCTACCTCCCAGCCTCCAAAACTGCGAGACATAAACATCTGTTGTGTAAGTCACTCACTCTATGGTATTTTGTTATTGTAGCCCGAGCAGACAGACCTAATGCTCCAAGGCTGAGGTTCAGACTTCTGTGAAGGTATGGCTGCCACAAGCACATGCAGTCTGCCAGTGCCAAAGAAACATGCCTCAGGATCAAAGCTAGTTCACAGAAGCTGTTTGCCGTTGCTAGAAGATGTGGGCAAGGTGGAGCTGGCCTACGAAAGCAAAACGCCGGGTAGGGAAACAGTTGCCAGAGGTTGCATCCTGAACGACTGTGGAAATGGCCATTGTGCAGAACAAGCATGGCCTGAGACTGTGGCTAGAGACGGCCATGTGGGATGCTGGGCGCCTACCCTACATAATCACATGAGGACCTGAAACTGGAAGGGAAGTGCCTTTCTTCTGCTGTCACCTTGTGGCGCCTCTCCAGCTCCCTCTATTGACAAACCTAACATTGTGCCAGCTGGTAAAGTACTACTTTTTAGAAGGGCTAGGGCCAGTAACACAGAGTACTTCCATGAAGGGAGATTTAGAGCTGAGAGACAATAAATGTATTGATAACAAACAGAGCAGTGAATAGAGTTCTCAGCTGAACCTGTGCTTGAATCTGAAAGGCAACCAGTAAATCTGTCTCTTGTTTGCCGACCCTTTCTAGAAACCTCCCCTTTCAAGGACATAGGCTTGGCCACAAACAGCTAGGGAAAGCTAACTCCTTCTGGACTCAACTCTAGCGCTGGTGGGGGAGGGATTTGATGCTGTTTTCCCCGACAACCACTTGTTGTATCTGTCAGTTGTGCATGGCCCAGGCCATGGCCTGTGAGTGTCAGATCAGGGTCAGCTCATGCAGCAAGCCCAAGTCTGGCCCTCTGGCCCCTCTATCCCCTTCAACCCAGAAACTGCAGGTAAGGACACCTGTTATGTGCAAAAGGGCATCAGGTCCTCGTGGAGTGCCTTCTGCAGCCTCAGCATCCATCCTGTCACTCTCTAAAGCATCTGTCACTTTGAAGGCCTCCTTTGCAACTGTGGCCCTTCCTCTGGAAACAGGGATGCAAGAGCTGCTCCAGGGCTCCCAGTTATTTGGGCAGAGGAAGAGGGAAGGCTCTCAGGACCTCCATCAGGGACTCCCAGACAGGGCCAGCCATGCTTGCAGAGTTTGTAGAGGACAGCTAGACCTGGTCTTAGCTCCACACTCCAAGGACTACATCCAGGGATCTGGTATTGTGTACTTGTGGTGCTGGAAGTTTCCAAGCCCCACTTTCCAGATGGGAGGACAGAGCCAGAGAAGTAAGACTGTATCTTAGGGCCACACATATTTCTGAGCTCCTTAGAGCTCCTCCTGCTCTGTGATGATAGCTGCCCTTCCAATAGGAGCTGAGCTGAGCCTGTTAGGAAGACTCCAGTCTTTGGCATCATCAGATCTGACATTGGACCCCAGTTCTACCCCCTTGCTAGCTACAAGAACTTGTTTAAATTACTTAACCTCCTAGCCTCAAATTCCTCATGGATTTATTTATTGCTAAGGATTAAATAAAACAATCTGTGTAAAATCCCTAATGCCAAGGAGGTGCTCAGTACTCATTTGTGAATGGGTAAGAATAAACTTTTCCTAGAATAAATCCTAGAAGAAATTTATTTTGTGGACGCTTACAAGAAACACTGCAAAGCATAATGGAAAGGTTTTCTAGCACAATTTCATAGAAGAGGTGGATGTGTTATTTGGGTGGCTGTGCCTTTTATTAAAATGTAATTGTTTTGATCATCTCCATGCCATTGCTGAAGGAGGGATCTCCCACCCCAAATATTGTAAGATGGCCAAACACATGACAGGAGACACTGGACAGATGAAACTGGCAACAGTTTATTAGTCACATACACTCACGAACTGCGAGAGGAGGACAACAGACGCCCTGCAGGACCACATGGGGGTCACACTCAGGGACCAGGTGAACCAGCAAGGACTGTGGGAGGCAGGCTCTGTAGTCACAAGAGGGTGAGGTGGCCCCTGGTTCTTGCGGGAGGATGAGGCCATTGTGTCTGAATAATTTCACAGACTGCAAGGAAGTGAAACTCAGTTGGTCGGGGACTAGGTGGGAGAGCCCGCCCAGCTGATGGGGAAGTAGCTGGGCGGGGAGACTCTCTGCCGGGGGAGGGGGTGCACATATAGGGGAGAACAGGGAGACATGGCCTTTGGAGGCTTGGGAGACTCAGAGATGTCAAGGCAGCACACAGAATTTCAGGCCTTACACTATAGTAATAAAATAGTGAGGAGTAACTCTTCAAAGGCAATTTGACAAACAGCTAAGGTAACTCAGTGAGACAATAAAAGCCTCTTAGGGCAGAAATTTTTATCTTCTGTGTTTTATGATTTACATGGCTAAGGTCTATTGTATTATAAGTCTATAAGAGATAAGACCACTGTCATTCATTTTCATAATTCGCTATTGATATGGTCTGAATGTTCCTCTCCCAGGGAAAGGGAAGAAAAACACCTTAACGCTGGGGTAACTCCTATCCTGCACTTGACAGGACTCTGCAAGCCTGGGTGCAGTGGCGTGCCTTTCCACAAGGAACAGGAAATCAGCCTGCTGCTGCTGGGTGCAGCTCTCAGAGGCTCTCTCTGCAGTGGAAGAATCACACAAACTGACTATTCCCCACCCCTGAGTCTTTCTTCCACATCCCAGTGCTAGGCAAAGGAGGGAGGGGGAGAAGAGCGACAAAACCAGCAACCCCTCATTCCCTTCTTTCCTCTCTTAGCCCACATATCACGTCAATGATTCTTTAGACTTCTCGATCCCAGTCTTTCTCCACAGCTACGCTGCTCGCTTGGGTATAAAGGGGAGTGCACCAGCCAGAGAAGAGAAAGATGAGGTGCATCAGTAAGCTGGAGGGGCCCAGGATCCTCTGACTGCGAGGGGGTCAGTGGAATAAGTCCTTTCAGCTGCCCCCTAGAAATCAGCACCACTTTTCCTCTTCAGTTGACTAATCAACTTGTTCCCGAATCACTGAACACAGCAGTCACATTTTTAGCATATAACACAAATGGCCACAGAAACTTTAACTGCCTTCTTTTTCTAATACTTGAAATAAAATAGAAAGTTATATGATGTTTACCCATGAAATCGTCTAAAGCTACCCTCCTGGGAATGGAGCATGTCTAATCATCTCTGCCTACCGATGGCAATTTTAAATTTTCAAGGAAAGTAGATAGGTGTCCATTTGAATAGGTATGTGACCCACAAATCCTCATGAACGCAAACTATGATAAAAGCAGAAGCACACGAGGGAAACAGGACAGGTTCCTCACTGGTCTGAGTTGGCTGCTCACCCAGTCTCTGTGCTGGCCTCTGATGATCTCACAAAAAATCTTGGGATAGAGGGCCCCTCTCAGGATTTCCAAGATCTGCTCCCCACACCTCCTCCTACCTCTCCATTTCACTCTCTATTCTTTCATTAAAAATGGAACAAGATATCAACGCTATTTGGGAGAGAAGAGAGAAAAGTCACATCTATCTCCTTGTGCCTGGGAGAAGGGAGGCAGAGCAGACGGTGAGGGCAGCACTCCGCACAGTGAAGGCACAGTTGAAACGCGTGTGTGTGGCAAGGAGGGTGGTGGGGATGACACCTCATTCCAAGCAGAGGGATTTTGCTAAGTGGCCAATGCTACTACTGCCAATGTGACCAGAAGACCCTCAGAGAATGTCCATTTCAGATCCTAGAAAACATTTAACATGCAAACACACAAGCACACAAGTGTTCTTAACAAGAGATTTCAAAACTGGGTCCCTCATTTCTGAATTGTCACCCTTGCACTAATAAGGTCACTGTGGATTGCAGGCACATGGTCAAAAGTGGGTCAACAAGAGAAAAGAGAAGGGCCATATCCAATGACTATTATTTCCTATGGAAAGGAAAATCGACCACAGAAGAGAATACTATTGGTTTTGCTGTGCTGGATAAAGAAAAGGAAAGGATGGTCTGCACAGAACCTGGGGGTGATTCTTACGCATGTGGGAACCCAGATGATGGCAGTGACAGCTGCTGCTTTTGTACCTTCCTCATTGACCTATACAAAAGACTTGTGTATGATCCTGGACAAATACAGACCTTTCTTAGATGAAATTCCCGAAAAATCTTCCTTGTCCTCTTCTAAGGCATCAGTCATGCCCAAACTGCGAAGGACATCCTCCAAGTCATAACTTTCCTCCAGTTTAAATCTAGGAAGGAAAACTTTCACCTCTTCTTCACACATCTTGCCCGGCCTTGTTCATTCTATGAATTTCTCATAAGAAAGTTCTTCTTCCACCTAAAGAAGAGAGTTGGAAATTTTCAGATCTAGAACAGTGTTTTCCAACAGAACTTTCTGCTATGATGTTAATATTCCATACTCATGCTGTCCAATATGGTAGCCACTAGCCAAACATAGCTACTGAGCACTTGAAATGTGGGTGGTGCAAGGGAAGACTTGAATCTGTTATTTTGTTTAATTTTAATTAATTCAAATCTAAATAGCCACAAGTGGCTAATGGCTCCCATACTGGACAGCACAGATCTGGAAGAAAGCACACTGATGCTAAACCATTCAACTATCAGACGATTTTTCATTTTAATGTCTCGACTCCTCAATTCCAGAAACTTAGTCAAGCCTTTTCCTGAGGCAGAAACTTATAACTAAGATATTAGTTTGGACTACATTTGTGAGAGAGTGACTGTCCTTTTAAAATTTGGTGTTCTATCTTATTAAAAGCATGTTTAGGTGGGACATCTCAGACTTGGCCTTCTCTTTCACCCACACTTCCTTCCAGTGGCTCCATCACCATCTTCTGTTGATTTAACTTCCAAAATCTCTGTCTGATCTGGCCCTTCCTCTGTCTCCATTGCCACTGCCTTTTAAGGCCCTGTCATGTTTTGCTTGAAAAGCGAGAGCAGCCTGCTATCTGCTCTATCTCCATTCTCCCTTCTTCCAGTTCATCCACTGCAGCCAAAAGGATTAGCTTTCTAAAAAAGCAAAAGATTTTCCTGCTTAACATTCACCCATTCTTCGCAAGCTTGCTACTCAGAGTCTGGCCCAGGGGCCAGCAGCCTCAGCATCACTTGGGATCTTGTTAGAAATGCAGAATCCCAGGCTCCATCCCAGACCTACTAAACCAGAATCTGCATTTAAAAGATCCCCAGGTGATTCACAGTGTCAGAGGGGCTCTGCCTCATGGAACTGCTTTCCGAAGAATAAGGCCGCAATTATTTAGCAAGGTTGGGAAGAAGCCTGCGAATATCTGTCAATGGCACACCCTGTGCATTAAAACGGATGCATTATATACACCATCCTCTTTTATCCTACAACACCCTCATAGACAGGTACTTTCATCATTTTCCATAGGAAGAAACAGGCTGAGAGAAGAAAAATTACTAAGTTGTAAAGCAAGACATTGAACTCAGACCTGGTTCAGCCCCAACCTGAGCCCTTTCCGGGATTAAGAGTATTTTCTAAAGTGTGTTCAATACTAGGAACACCATCCCCACTGGATGTAACTATTCGAAGGGAAACTGGCACATGACCAAATATGTTAACGAAACAATGATAAAAATAAATTTAAAAAAGTTTCTTTCAGGGGTCTGGGCCAGTGGCGTAGTGGTTAAGTTCACATGCTCTGCTTTGGCTGCCTGGGGTTTGCAGGTTTAGATCCTGGGCGCAGACCTACACACTGCTCATCAAGCCATGCTGTGGCAGCATCCCATATACAAAGTAGAGGAAGATGGGCACAGATGTTAGCTCAGGGACCATCTTCCTCACACACACACACAAAAACTCTCTTTCCTACAAGGCTTGTCAGAGCCCTTAATATGATACAATGTGTACTTGGAACACTTATTACCATTTTCAAATTGGTGTTTTCATCTGGAAGCATGATGATCATGTTCAGTTCCTTTCCAGCATAGGGAAGCACTAGAATTTGAGTGAATATTTCTCCTATATAGGTCATTTTAAAAGTAGATACATTAAACATCATTTGCACAGGTTTCTTTTCATTCTATAAAGGAAACAGATAAACATTCAGTTGAAATACAATTCAAGTGATACATTTGTATAATTCAACAGACTTAGCCACTCTTTGCCCCTAGAAATGCTTTCTTCTCTTGGCTTCTAGAACATCACATCAGCCCCCTCCTTTGCCCGTTCATCTTCATGACCTCAACCTCCAAGCACTAGGGTGCCAGGACTTAATCCTTAAGCTTATTTTCTCTTGGTGATTTCATTCAGTCTTGTGAATTTAGATATAATTTCCAAATTTAAATCTCCAGCCTGGCCCTCTCCCCAGTAATCCAGACTCGTATGTTTTACTGCCCACTTGAGAGCTGCATTTGGACATAGAAAAGCAACCTCCAGTCTAACAGTTAGCACTGGGCTCCTCGTATTTTCTTCCACATCTATCTCTATCCTTCCCCATCTCAGTTGATGGCAACACCATCCTTCCAGTTGGCAAAAACCCTGGAATAACCTTGACTCCTCTCTTCCCTTCACACTGCCTATCTGACCCATTCATAAATTATATTGGCTC